CCGCTGCTGATTCACTTTTCCGCGTCAAGTCCACCCGCGCAGTGCTGAGCCCGGGAGACCGCCTCCCCCAGCCCCGCCTTCTCACGGGGTTGGGTGGGCAGACCCCGAAGGGCAGACGGGCACCCCTCGCAGGGGGATGTATTGTCGGCGGCTGAACGGCACCAGGTGTCTGACCGGTGAGTTCAGGTCAAACCTGGGTTTAGCAACCTCCCTACTTGGGTTCAGGTCAGGAAAGAATTCAGAGGCAAGACCCAAACTATAAGAGAACATTTATTGGGTAAATCACAGAAATACAAGAAGTAATTCCTAGAAGAAATGGGCTTAGGAAACGAGTTATGGAGGTAAAGGAAGGGCCCTTGGAACTTGGGAGTGAGGAAGCTAATGATAAAGTGGAGCGGGGGGGAGGGGGCGGTATCCCCGAAGGGAAGGGAAGGGAAGGGAAAGGAAGGGAGAAGAAAGGTATGGGCGCGCTCCCGGGAGGGAGCGTACACTGGGTCCTCCCTCCTACTGGTTTTAAGGGCGGAGATTGTAGGCAGCTCCCAGGGAAGATCTATAGAATTTCCTGCGGTTTTCTAAGTGGGTCCTTTTCGGGTTGTGGTCTCCACTGATGGATTGGCCGGCACCTGGGCAGGGGGTCACTATTCCATGCAGCTGGTCCTGAGGTCAGCCGTGGCTGGTTTGGTTGCTTATCTGGGCCCAGAGCTGCAATACAACTGAGGCCTAGATGTTATCTCCCGGGAGGAAAGGTCAGGGGGTCTAAACCGAGTGACCAGCGACCAGCAATAAGCTAGGGAAGGAATGGTCACCCTGGGAGCAAGGCCCCACCTTACCACTGATTGTCCCTTGCCAGGCACCTGGGGCCTTCCGCCCGGGCACCCTTCCTACCAGGCCCATCGTCCTTGCTCTGCTCACACCTGTCTAACTGCCTACAGCAGATGGACCATTTTGTTGGGATTTTTCACTTCCTAAAAGTGTTTTTCTTCGGTTTTCTGACTACTTGTTGCAGAGATTAAAGCTTGTAACGACCTTTACTACCCGCCTTTGTAGATGCGCATCCTCCTCCCTTTACAGACGGGAAACAGGCCTGGGGAAGCTGGAGGACTCACAGTCCTGGGGGGACAGAGACCCCCGGCTGAGAATGGGAGCGCCCCTGCCCGGAAACCTCCTCCCTGGGGGCTAGGGCCTTCGACCGGAACCCGCCCCCACCCACGCCTTGCACTGCGGCACTCCACAGTGGACATTTTTCTTAAGGAGGGAAAGGAGACTTCTGTTGATAAAAGAAGGCAACTTAGATGGCACAAAAGGAGGGGTGGGCATTTTTCAAACTCTCAAAATTGCATGGGTATTGATCCAGGTTATGAAGCAGAAAAAAGCACACAATGCAACGCCAGCAGGATGGCTGGCTTTGTGCTCCGAACGTCAGCCTCTCTGTGCCCCAGCCTCCCTCCTCCCTCCTCCCTC